GCTGGAGGCTTAGTACGGACAAATTGGGAGCATAGGTTTCTTTGGTGCTGATTTAAGCCACAATATAAAAGTAGAAAATATTAATCAGTTCAAGGATTACACAAAGAAGTTCATCCTTATTCAAACCATCTTAGTTCGTAGTTCATTATGAACTTACTTCACTACTTAATTCAGTAAGTGATCAGGCAAAGAGTTTACTGTAAATCACTATCCTAATGTTATATGTGACACACAGATCATTCATCAACATGTATGTGGATGGACCTTTACAAACCAGTAAATTCTTCAATTGCACCTCACTCTTGTGACTTTGTGAGCATTTTCATGAAACATGGAGCAATTTTGCTACGTTTTTAGGATTTTTTTTTTTTAATTGTGTGGCCAAAACTCCTAGAATTCTATACAGATTTTCCAGCTAAATACAGGTCCTGCCCTCAGTGGTTTGTACATCTAGATAGATGAAATCCTTTGGCTGAAGACCAATTAATAATTAGAACGGATCAACTAGAGTTCCATAAACAAGGGCCGTGGAAAACTCCATTCATATCAACATTCAATTTGGATAGAATTTTCATTCCATTTCCTGGGAAATGAAGAGTTTATTGACATGCTCTGAACCGGTCATAATATTTTAAGCATGTGAAAGTTGAAGCAAATTCATCATAAGGGAGCCTGATCTCCTCTTTCCTTGCAAACAGCTGTACAACAGTTTGCAAAATAGACAGGCATGGTACTTGCATATCTGAATTTGGTCTCAGTTAAATGCTTCTTCGTTTTTGCACATTTGATATCGTTTCTTTCTAAATGCGCTAGTTGTTTGTGTGCACACGCATAAACAGATGCATAGACAGAGCAAATTTTGTACAATCAATATCTCAGGGGCTGCCATAAAGAAGAGGGAATTAAGCTATTTTCCAAAGCACCTGAAGGCAGGACAAGAAGCAACGGGTGGAAACTAATCAAGGAGAGAAGCAACCTAGAACTAAGGAGAAACTTCCTGACAGTGAGAACAATTAATCAGTGGAACAGCTTGCCTCCAGAAGCAGTAAATGCTCCAACACTGGAAGTTTTAAAGAAGAGTCTGGACAGCCATTTGTCCGAAATGGTGTAGGGTTTCCTGCCTGAGCAGGGGGTTGGACTAGATGACCTCCAAGGTCCCTTCCAACTTTACTATTATTATTATTATTATTATTATTGTTATAATGAAGGAAGAATATGCAGACAATGAGTACCAAAATTGTGAATTCAGGAACAGATCTAACATCTTCTTCCCTCGAATCAGTTTTTGCACTGTTCCATCTGTTCTACAGAGTTCAGAAACTATAAAGTGTTCTCATGAATTAAAAGAAAAGAAAAACAGCAACACAGAAGAGCAAATGCTTTTTTTTTTTTTTTGGTGGTGGGGAAATACTTCTAGAAAATGGGCATGTCTGTTGGCATTATCTTGCCTCTTTCTTCCCCCATGTATTTACTAGTGCAACTGAATAATGATGGAAATTAAAGGAAGGCAGACTGCTTTAATGATGCTGTAATGCAGAGTGCTATGTCATTTAATCTGGGGGTGAAAGAAATCTCCTAGAGATTTCTTTCAGTGCATCTCTTGCCTCATTTGTAGCAGAAAAATTGGCACACATATGGTCTGTAAGACAGCACATCCTTCGAATAGCTCAGCGGTATGCAGAACGAATCAAGACAGGGGCAGCGATCTGTTTTAACTCACAATTCATTTTGTTTTGTTTTTCAGTGTGTTTGATTGAAAATAATAATAATAATCTTTCCTAGTTTAAATCCAGTTGGGAATACATACCTATAAAAAGCAATTAAGTGTGTGTGTTTCAATAAATTCTATATCTAGAATAGATATAGAGGATCCATCATCAGTTTATAAGATTTGGCTAATATTTGAATGGATGTAAAAGATGTAATGAAGGCTGTAGTCTTATTGCAGTTTAGGGATTTGAGTAAGGAAATAATTATTTGCAAATAAATTGGATTGTGTGTCTTCTTTGTCTTGATTTTGCTAAGTGTGTGACTGCCAGACTCTGCATCAACTTAAGATAGAAATGCATGACTTTGGGATAAATGAATTCACAGGGTTAGCTCAAAATATTTTGCTACCTGAAGCAGAGACGGAAATGATAATCCCACCCAGCCAAATCAGGAAACCTAATACCCTGAGCCATAAAACTTTTTCCTATATGTGTATACAGTAAAGCCCTAAAGCATTCTATCTCCAGTAGTGACAATACAGCAGTAAAATGGTTCACAATTGGCTATCTTCTCGCTATCCAAATTCTGCTACCTAAGACAGCTGTCTCACCTGGCCTAATTGTAGGTCCAACTTTGTTAACATGCACAATTAAGTAGCAGCTTGGCCTGCAACAAATCTATAATTCTAAACAAGATCAGGATTCAAGATTATTCAATATGCTCTTATTTTCCAATCTATGAAATCACAAGCTATGAAAAGTTTTATATGATGTCATTAAAACATACCTCCTTCAATTTCCATCATTGTGTATTTTCAATGGTAGATTAAAAAGGTGAGTTCCAATATACTCAAAATCTGCTCTTAGATAAATAAAGAATATAGATAATCAAAAGGCCTGTTTTTCAATTATCGCCATGAACTTCACCATCAGATTCACCTCCTCAATATTTTTTTCTACTTCTTTTGGACTGACCTCCTGTGGTACACAGCGCTTTACAAATTGTGGATACTGACTTTAAGCATCACGACAGAGGATCTTGGTCACAGCATTGCTGACTGTGGAATTCTGGGAGTTGAAGTCCACATGCCTTAAAATTGACAAGGTTGAGAAACACTGAGGAGGACTCGCCACAACCCACTCAGCATGGCCAACTAACCTGCCACAGGACAATTCGCAACAGACAACTCATTGCAGGACAAGTCACCTGGGGAGAATTCAGTGCTGTATTAATCATTACATTTAGATGCTTTTATTACTGGTGACCATGTTTTCATCAAAATTATTATAACTCTTGTATTTCCAGACTGACTTTCTTTATTTTATTATTATTGACAATGGTTCCATTGGAATTAATTTAACTTTTGTTGAATTGTCCTGCAGCTAGTTCTCCTGTGAGTTGGCTGCAATGAGTTGGCCATGGCTAGTCGGTCACAGCAAGCTGTCCTTTGGAAATTGGCCATGGAGAGTTGTCCCATTCCTCACAACTAGACCTAACACCAGAATCCCAGGACTGTATAAATAGGGAACTCAGATTGTTATTTTAGGTAACAGCAGAATAACGCCAAGAATCCCCCTTTTGGATTTTTTTTTTCCTTCATAATGATACTCAAGCAATCCTATTCAATAACACATTGCCAATTAATTGGGACTGCCCTTGTAGCTACATGGTAATAGTTAGAATGAAACAGGAATTAGAAAGAGGATAATGTTGAAATAGTAAGAATTAAGCACGCTGTGGGATGAGTGGTTCAGATAATCTCATCATTTCTAGGGGCTGTTTCTACTTTTCTCATTCTGCATTTCGCTAGAGAATCAAACGGTAAAACTTATTTAATGTAAACCACTTAGAGTCTTTTTTAAGGAGTGGGGGCTATAGCAAATAAAATGTATTTATCTAAACACAAGTAAATAAATAACCCATGGAAACCAATACATATTTGAGCTGCTATTTAGATGAGGGAAGTTTTGATGTATGAAGATGCTGAAAGTCTGGCGTACTATTTGTACTGCTTGGGCGATTTATGCTATGATTTCTAGTATGCTTGATAATAGGTTTGTAGTTATTCCACATTGTGATTGACAATAAAATGAAGTCTTCTGCTTAGCCTGTATTAATTTCTATTAGGATGGTTTGTTTTGGGGAGGGGGTGTCTTCTTCCGATTCCATGGGAACATAATAGGTACCATTAACACAAATACAATATCTTTATTTTATAGGCAGAAGGCATGTATTAAATAGCTGTTGCTCTGAAACATACTTATTTGCTTGAAAAGAAAGAGTGTATGTGAGAAAGAGAGATACAAACAAAGAGAGAGGAAGATGAGAGACGCATTTTGTTGCGCTATTTAAGACCCCCCCCCAAATGTTTCTCTTACTCATTTTCTTTTCTCCTTGACAGTCTTTTTTGCTTCTTCATCTTGGACCTCTTCTTCAGATAATTAAACCTGCCTTTGAATTAATCCTCTTCTGTGTTTGTTTCAGTAGGGTACTTTGATTTTGGTCTCAAACTTTTTTTTTTTTTAACTGAGATTTGATCCTTCTCTATCAGATTTGAAGTTAAATCAAAGAGATACATCTTTCCCCCTCCAAATATTCATAGAGCCAACTTGAAAGTATGTTCATGCAACCTGGAGAAAACCACCCCTGCTTTCATCCATCATGTTGTCTGTCCTACACACACACAGAGAGAGAGAGAGAGAGAGAGAGAGAGAGAGAGAGAGAGAGAGAGAGAGAGAGAGAGAGAGAGAGAGAGGAGGGAGGAGAGAGAGAGAGAGAGAGAGAGAGAGAGAGAGAGAGTGAGAGAGAGAGAGAGAGAGAGAGAGAGAAAGAAGCATTTAATCTTCCAGGCCTAATAAAGGTTTAATTGTATATGTGCTCCACTACATATTACACAAAGCAAACCAAAAGTGTGAAGAAGTACCAAGATAAGTTGAATAGACCCACTCAGTGGTCTCTTATTGGTCAATGACTGAAAGAAAGTTCTGCCTGCCTTGTCTGCCAAACAATCCATATCAACAAAATCCAAGCCCAACATACTCGTACCGTTTTCCTTGACTGTAATAGGCTAACCACATAAAATCAATAATCAGAGTTTACTGCAGCCTTGTCCTTTATAGCTCTTTCTAAAGGCAGAAAGCTAATTAGGGATGGGTTCCTTTTCTAGTTGACTTGTAGCATGTCAAAACATTCACAGGACATAGAATTACGAGGCTAGTTTGAGAGAAGAATTTTAAGGAATGAATATGTGTTATCAGCCTCATTAGAGGATTAAAAAAATATTGACTTACCCGTCCAACTAATATTGGTTCAGGTCCAGAAAATTCTTCTAACACAAACATTTGATTCCATACCCAGCCTCTCTTCGAACGGTTCAACACTCTTTGTTCTTCATTGAGTTCACTTAGTCCTCTGCTGGATCTACTGGGTAGTACTTGAGAATGATTCATTGGAGCCATGTATATAGATGGAAATGCAGTAATCCATAATATTACTAATGGAGCCCATGTATCCATAAGCATTTCTGCTAGTCCTTCTGGCATTGTTCCACACACTAAGCAAATCACCACGGAAGACGACACAATTATTCTGCTTCCTTCCAGATTATAGTGATCCGAGTCATCATGCGGCAAGGAAGATTTACTTACAGTTCCGTCATGTTTTTAGACCAATATAAGCATAAGTAGAGACTGATTAGATGGTAGAAACACCCTCCATTGGAATTTATTATCTTCAAAGATGCCTAAAAAAAAAAATTCAGAGAGAAATAACTGAAATTAGCAAAACAGTAAAATAATTGGGAATGTGTGATTTGGTTTTTTTTTTTTTTTCAAATCTGTAGATTCTAAGATTGTACATTCTGTTTTAACAATCCAGTTGAAGCAATTCATTTCCAGGTATTTCAGGAAATAAGTATTTGTATCTTTGAAGCAAAATGGAAACCATTCTATCATTTCTTTGGATAGAAAACCTTTCCTTCCTTCCCATTCTTACTGACCAATATGCGCTGCCATTTTTTTTTAAACCCTTTTAAATTTTTAATGGATTCACATAGCCCTCTGCTGGCATTTGCACAATCCACATATACCATTTGTTCAGTGGTGTTGAACATAAGTTTCGGGTTGTAGCAATGATGTTGATTATGATCATTATTTAAACTTTTGTTGTTGTTGTTTAATGCAACTAACTACAAAAGTTACTGGTCCTTGTAAAAGATACTAAAAGTGATGGCCGTGATGATAATAATAATTTTAGAAAGGAAAATGTTCAATCTGGAGCATCCATCCAATTTATCCAATCTATCCTGTAATCCTAACAACATCTAAGGATAACACGCACAACAAAACTGTTTTGCAGTACCAGCTGGTTTGGGGAACATCCTATCTCTGGGGAGAAAACTGCATAAAGTGAGGTTTATCACTGTCTTTCCGTCTGTTAAAATCCCTTTACATCACTCTCTCGTCCTCTGAGCTGCCCTTCTTCCAGTGTGAAAATTACCATTACAATTTTCTTTGTGACATTTTTACTTGGGGCTTAATTGCAGTGTAAAGACACACGAAAGATGAATTTGCTAAGAAGAGAGAGAACACTTTCAACACTCTCAATCACTTTATAAGTGAGGTAAGAGAATGGCTCTACACATCCCACCATGGAAATATAATCGAAATGTTCTCCTTTGTTCTCCTCTAACTCCCCCCCCCCAGTCAAATTAAGAATGATGAAAAGCTGACACAGAAACTTTATTTTTAACACTGCACAGCAACTCTGGGTATTGCCAGGACACTTGACAAAAGTCAGCACAAACCTTACTAGAAAACTGAAAATGTTGTGACTTAAATATAGCTGCCATGTTCAGGAGCGCAAGTATAGTATTCTTTTTTTTCCTGATTTATTTTTGTTTTTTGTTAGCATGATGAAGAAAGTTAAAGGGAATTAGCTAACTAGAAGTGCTATTTTTGTAAACATGATGCTTAATCAGGTGCTTTTAAAGGCACACATGCATCCATATACACACAAACTGCACTTGACAGGAGATTTAGACTTCTTTCTCTCTCAACTCAGAAATGTTCAATTAAGTTTCCATTGAGCCATCACTAATGCATCAAGATTCATTAGCCACAATTGAATCCAGTCTTGGAATAGCTCTGTAGTATTGCCAGACTCACAAAAAGCAGCATCAACCACAACAGAGAAGAAACAACAGCCATGATTTAAATGGATTTTACATTTAACCTAACTTGATTCTTGAGCTATTTTAGGCAAGCGTGAACCATAAAATGTATCAGTAAAGGGCTATCATCACAACATGACAGTGTCTGGATGCTAGCTTGCTTTGATGCCAAGGAACCCATTTGGCTGAAATGTCCTTGCTTCATTTATTTTATAAACTCCATTTTTCCTATATTTCAGGCACACAACAAACAACCACATGCAAGAGGGAGTGATTTCTCTTCAGATAACAATAGTAAGGAGCTTCTGAAATGGGGTCCCTGTTTGTTTTTTCTGGTAGCAAAAGCATGTGAAAATGGGTCTGTTATTAGAAAGTATTAGGAACCTGAAATTAATTCAGCACATGCCAGGTAACCAATGTCAGGACTGCCTCCGATCAATCTCAAGGAAAGAAAACCCTTGGCTCCATAGATTCAGAAAAAAGTACTTTTACTAGGAAAGAACTGATTGCAGCAAAAGCCAGGCAAAGTCTGAAGCAAATGTGCACGAAAAGACAAATTGAACATAACCCCAGAGCCTGCCTCCCCCCAGTAGCCAGGCAACCATTTGTCTGAAATAGTACAGATTCTCCTGCTTGAGCAGGGGGCTGGACTAGAAGACCTCCAAGGTCTCCTATTCTATTCTATTCTACTCTACTCTACTCTACTCTACTCTACTCTACTCTACTCTACTCTACTCTGCTCTGCTCTGCTCTGCTCTGCTCTACTCTACTCTACTCTACTCTACTCTATTTGAAGCAAAGACAGTTGACAGTTTACAGGCTGACAGTTGACAGAGATAAAGAAACATACCATCCAAATGGTTATAAAGTTGTGTTATAAGATTTTTTTGGTAAGTTCACATGAGAACAAAAAACATTTATGGTAAAGGAGTATCCAATTTGTAAACCTAATATAATTAGAGGGAAGAACTATGGGAAGTCACTAACTATCCTACCTCTGCTAGACCTCCACCTTAGATGATGTCCTATTCTGATCTCAGTAGGATCATCTCCAAAATTCCAGAATAAAGATTTGCCAGTCAGATGTCAACATTCAGATATATATTCATTGACAGCATCTTATCTCTTCCATGCTCATACATAAGTCACAGGTTATGAATACATAAGTGATAGTGCAGAACATTTATTATTTAGCAATAATCTCATAAAATCAAAGGGCTTTCATTCAGATAACCATATATAGGTTTGTGCTATAAGACCAAACCTATTAGGTGGGCACTATTAAGCTATTTCTGTGTTTGGTTCTTTTAAGTAGTTGTTCTCTTGCAATCAATGAGATTTAAATCTACATAACATGCTTAGGGTATAAGCACAAGGATGAAATATGACTAAGTGTCCTTGCATATATCATCTAATTGATTTTCCAGGTTAAGGCAATGCATATGGTCATATAAAATGCACTTAAGTGCATTGATCTTTATGGTGTAATATACAAACAATGCAGTTTTGTACTTATGGGCCGTTGTAATAAGAAAAGTGATGCATTTAAAAATTCCATTATTAACTTCCTTTGGATCATTTCAGAAACTCACTCCATAAAAGGAAGAACTGCAAAAAAAAAACTTAAAGAAAAATAAAGTAATTTTTAAGATGCATAATGAATAACCCCTTTTAATAAATAGCTACAAAATCATTTTTAAGGCTGTCTTAAACTTCAAAATGCCTTTTTATCAAATAAGCATTCATCACATATTTGCACGTTGATTTGCATTGTACTCCCCAGGGTTTTTACGTCTTGGGAGTTGGAACCTGTTTACACATAACACTTCCTTTAGGAGTAACCCATTGCTAATTCCATTTCACATCCATTGCTGCCTTGTCGATCATTGTGATTACAAGTTATAGTTAAGCCTTCTGACCTCAACAATTCATTAAGGTGTGATCGGTCAATTCCCAGACATTTGTTGTTACATTTCTAATGCTGCAGTATTGATTTTATTGAAATAAATTATATTGCCGAGGGTAAACAATTAAAAACTTTGTTTGATAGCTCTTTTCATATGGGGCTAGAGCAGAAACTATGTTTGAGGTGACCATCAGTAAGGAGCATCATTCAAGGTAGGTCAAGAGGACCTATGTTTGAGGTGACCATCAGCTTAGCATCATTCAAGGTAGGTCAAGAGGAGGAACCATCATTCCAGGCAGATTCCTTTATTCTTACTCAAATTCGGTCCCTGGTTTTTATTTACCTTAGCTGAATAAAGAGTTGAGACTGTATAAAGCAGGGGTCCCCAACATACAATTATAAGTAGAAAATGAACAGAATAATTACATTGGAGGAATTACACTTAACATGGAATGTTTAGCTTAAAAATAAATAGTGGGCATTAAAATGGTACCTTGATACACACCATTAATTGTATCCAGGAGATGTGACGAGTAATAAAAAGGACAAGGGCCAAACAGACCATGTGACTTACCATGTGACTCTTTCTTTTGGTTGAGAATAACTTTCTGTTTGTCCCTTTTCCTATGTCAGCAACCTTCCCAGCTTGGCTGAGTTCCTGTCCGCCCTCTGTGTCCATTCCCCTCCTTTTGCAGTGACCTTACCAGCATGGGCAACCTCCTGTCCATTCTCTACAGCTAGCCACCCTCCCCCTCTTCCTATCATAGTGCATTGAGTACTAAATAAATGCCGAGTACTGGGACAACATTTTCGTGTCAAAATGCATCAAATGCCAAATATGATGAATTTTGAAGCAGTTGAGTACCAATGTACTAGTACAGGTGTCCCCAACCATGGACCGGTACTGGGCTGCAGCATGCCAACAACCCATCTGCACAAACAAGCAAAGCCCCATTTGTGGGATGCAGGCAGCACACAAAACCACGCACCCTCCGGTCCATGGAAAAACCTTTTTCCACGGAACCAGTCCCTGGTGCCCAAAAGGTTGGGGACCTCTGGTATAAAGGGTTAAGACATCAGGGTAGAAACCAGGAGACAATGAGTTCTAGTTCTACCGTAGGCACAAGGCCAGCTGGGCGATCTTGAGCCAGTCATATTCTCTCAGTTCTAGGAAGGGGGCACTGGAAAAACCACATGCAAAAAAACCTTACCAAGATAACTGCAGAGACTAATTCAGGCCTTGGCCTGGAGTCAAAATTTGACTTGAAGGCATGTGTGCACATGGGGGTCACAGACACATACAAACACACCCACCCACACACACACAAAACACCCAGACTCACACTCTCTCTTGAGTTTAGATTGATTTCCGGGAGTTAGAAAGCTAGATCCATGTAGTTTTGTTGGCAATAATATCGTTTTAATTTATCATTACCTTTTTTCCCATGATATACAGGTAGTCCTCAGCTTGCAACAGTTCATTTAGTGGCTGTTCAAAGTTACAACTACACTGAAAAAAAGTGACTTGTGACCATTTTTCAGAGTTACAACCTTTGCAGCATCTCCAAGATCATAGGATCAAAATTCAGGAACTTGGCCACTGATTCATATTTATGACGGTTGCAGTGTCCCGGGGGCATGCGAGTATTTTCTGCGGCCTTCTGAC